CATGGGGGGGCTGCCCCTGGCCCTGGGGCTGCTGGCGGCGGCGCTGGGCGCGGTGGCGCCGCAGTCCTGCCCGGCTCAGTGCTCCTGCTCGGGCAGCACCGTGGACTGTCACGGGCTGGCGCTGCGCGGCGTCCCCAGGAACATCCCCCGCAACACGGAGAGGCTGTGAGTACCCGGCGCGGCCCCGGGCGGGGGGGCTTCCCTTCCCTTCCCTTCCCTTCCCTTCCCATCCCGCCCTGAGGGAAAGTTGAGCCAAGTTGTTGCCGATGCGAGGGCCCGGCTGAGGCTCGTGCTCTCGGCCGAGCCCCTCCAGGAGGCAGGGAGCCGCCCCCCGCCCTGCGGAAGGGCCGGGCCGCGGGCTGAGGCGCACAGCCGAGGACCCTCCGCCCTGGCCCTGGCCCGGCTCTGCCCGGAGCGGGTTTAGCCCCAGGTCTCTCTCCAGCCGCGCCAGGACAGCTCCTAGCAAGCCCCCATACCCTTGGGGGTGCCTTTGGGCCACTCCACCTCTTCTTTGGAAGCTCAGCCAGGTTTCACGTGGCCTTGCCTTCCTGGAAAGCGAAAGGCTTGAGCAGGGAAAGAAGCGAGAAGGAATTAGGAAGAGCTTCTTGAGACTGCTCAGAGCAGTTGTTAAAGGCGTGATTCCTCCAGCAGTGCGTGCACGCCCTGGGAGATGAATGCTCAAGTGACAAGGATTCCCCCTGTCCCGTGAACAAACTGTGGCACTTGGGTAGAGACGGTGTCTGGCTGGATTATGTCAAAATGAAATGCATTGATTTTTTTTTTCTTCCTCCTTCCCTTTTCACCCCTGCAAAGATAACATATAATCTGTAATTGTGGGGTTTCTGTGCAAGGCTGCTTTCCTGGTGGCTTGGATCAAGAAGTACAGTCAAGCCACGGCAAAGCGTGGTTTTGCTTGTAATGACTGGAAGCCGGGCAAGTTTAGATCTTGACCTAAGATGCCAGAAAAGGGCGTTGTAACTCCAGAAAGGAAAGTGGTGCTGAAATTTGAACAAAAGTGTCAAGACCTGAACACTATTTCCATTATTGCCTCTGAACACCGTTTGCACTTCACAGTCACGGTGGGTTTCCTGTAGTGTATAGGAGGAGTTTGGGTGTTTTTTCATACAAACATTAGATTGTTGGAGGGTAAATGCTTGCAAACATAAATCTTCAAGGATGAAGTCTTCTTCCCC